ATATCCTGCAAGAGATGATCATGTATATTTTAAAAACTTAATTATTAGCTCATAAAAGCCATTTTAAAATAAATATAATTGATATATTCAATTATAAATTTTTAAATAAATCATGTTAAATTTCATTATATATCTAAAAATATTTCTTTTTAATTATTATTTTATAAACATATTTTAAAGTAATCAAATTAAAACTACTAAAATTGTCCTATTAATAAATTAGCATGTTCCTTATAAAAAGATTAGTCTAATATTTTCATTTACAATTAGCATATCTCAAAAGAAAAATCAACATAATCACCCATTTACAATTAACATACCTTAGAAGAAAAATCAGCATAATCACTGGCCGATTCACCTGACAATTGTTGAATGACAGGTGTTTTTCCTCTTGTAAATAAAACCACCTGCCAAATTCATATATTTATAATAAAATCCGTAAATACTTATAGGAGGAATGATGAATCATTCCTTAAAACAAATGCAGGCCAACCAAAATGATTAATAAACGTGAAATAGGCAAGTCATACCTGGTGACCCTCTTTGACAAGAGTGCTAGTGCTTGATGTATAGACATGAAAACACCCTTTTGGCTGCAATAATTTTCTCTTGAGCTGTACCCAAATTTAACACGTTCGGAGTTAGTGACAGATACATGCGCTTTATTTATCACTTGGATGTAAATAATTATTAATCTCAGACAGCTACGTGGAGCGCCCAACCTTAAAAGTGGGATAGGGAGATATTCTAATTTATTTATATATTTATATTAAATAATTTATAATACATATTGTTGCATATGTATAACATATATGAGTATTTTTTTACAAAATGATCTACATTGTTTTCATTATTCAATATTTAAGTCTTTATATATCGAAGTATTCTTAATATTTTAAAAAGACAAACAAAAGATATTGGATTTATGTCCATGAGAATGGACCTCCACCTAGATATTTTAGATTACCAATTTAGAAATATAACTTAATCTATACTTCAAATATTTTCAATAAAAAAAATTTATAGCTATTAAACAAAATTAAAAAATATATATATTTAAAGTCTTATATTAAATTTTTTATTATATAAAATATTATCTAAAATATAATAATAATTAAAAATAAAGAAAAGTTACTCTCTTAAAAAACTAGAAAGTAAAAGGTCCATTAACGAAATCAAAAGAGAAAATAAAATTTGGGTCCATTTGGGCCAACTTTTTGGATCCTAATTTTTTTCACTACAAACCATCTAACCCTACACTCATAAGCTGCCGCCGCTACTTTCCCTCTGAGAAGAAGAGAGGTCTGCAGATGCCGGAGAAGACAGAGCCGGCACCCCCCGGAGAAGCCAGATCTGCCGGAGAAGAAGACTGATATACGGAGAAAATCTGCCGCCTACCCGCAACAAGCTTTCTGTAGCGGCACGGAGCCGCTCCGCTCCGACGCGCCACGATAGCGGCCGCTACAACCGCTATTGACTACTATATGTACAAGTTTTTGAAGTTTTCAATTCGAAGATTTTGGAAATCATAATTCATTTTGGATAAAATTTTTCATAAACACTTGAATTTGGAGAAGCTTCCTTCATTTTTTCTTCTCCCATAAATATTTATAAAGAAATTATCCAAACATACCCACAATTCAATTCATCTGAGTATTAGTAATACATGAATACACAATGTTGTTCAGAATCTGCTGCTAAATGCACACATACAAAGTACAAACACACGTGGTAGCATTGAATTTGGAATTAAGATAGAGAGGGGTATTGTATGAAATGATAGTGATGTTAGTGTTACATAAAAGAGGAGGGAGAAAAAGTGTTAGAGATGAGGACCTGAAGTTGAGTTTGAAGTCTGGTTCCGCTGAAGTCAGAAAGAGAGGAAGCTAAGGGAGAGAAAGAAAGTTGGTTCTGTTGGAGTGCAACCACCCTTGCCATGATGATTCTTTCCACGGTCCAGTGAATATGGTATGGGGCAGAAATTTGAAGTGCTTTTCTTTCTTTCCCTCACCCAATTAACTAACTCCCCACCTCTTCTTTGCTTATGATAAGACAATGACCCACCTCCATCTCCATCCACAGCCTCACATTTCCCTTCCTCTTTAACATTCTTTTTTTTAATATATATATATATATATATCACATAAAATCTTAGCCCATTTATTTATTATATGTAACCCATGTTTAGAGTTCATTGTTTACATGTCAAATGGAAATTTATGATTTTTTCCTAACAATTTCTGGGCTGGTCCGATGGACAGTTGGACACTATTTGGTGGGCCTCAACATGATTAATTCTTAATGATTTCTGTTCTTCTGGCAAACTGGAAGGGTTTCTCCCTTTCCGTCTGGCAATCCTTAAAATGTATTCAACGGACAAACGTCATGCAATGGATAACAATACAATTGGATTCAACAATGTGCCTCTCGAACAATTGCCTCACGGGTCTCATCAACAATACAATCAGCATTCAGTGTTGTCTGAGTGGTTCACTATCAAACTTTTAAATGCAAGCTGAACAGTGCATTGTGGAAAGTATTGGGATGTGATGGTGGTTTGTACATGATTATTATTTTGGCCACTTCCTAATGAACTTGGCAAGTTGCGTAGAGTGAGGCAGCATATGCAAAATTTTGCACCTTAAATGTAACGGCTAGAGTAAGACTATGAATTCCCAAGTACATGGTAAAATAATTACTCGTTTTCAAGTGTAAATCATGTTTTCTTTTCTTTCTTGATTTTGTTTGCGTCGGAGGTTTAAGAAATCACATTATTCTGTTCTGCATCAACTCTACCATTATGCATATGATTACCGCTTATATTGATATTGATTAATGGGAATTGTTGATTGACATGAATGATGTTTATCTTAACGATTAACTTAAAACTCATTGACCAAAATGTTTGTAAATTTACAAATCAAACGATTGCGATAAGTCGTTTGACTCGAAACGGAAATAATCCTCGTATTCATCTTGCAAGGTAGAGGAACTGAGGAAGCTATGTTAGAAGAAAGCATTATGAAATGTGTGACGGACATTAGATATCTCGTGTTCTTTTTCTCCAAAATTAACCAACACAAGTTAGTTAAATTAGCTAAATCATGCACACAAGTTCATGAAGGGAAAAACTACTACTAGGACCTATTAAACCCTTATATATGTGTACTAAATCCTTCAACTTGGAGTTAACATGAACAATATGGTGAAATAAGTGCTAACAATACATTCTTTGGAACAAATTCATTCTTATAGTTGAAATTCTTAAGAAATTTTAACTATTTAATATTTTGTTTTTTTAATTTAAATTGATAGATGATTATAAAAATATTTTATATGTTAATTTAAATTTATATAACGAAATATCAAATAGTTTTCAATTTTTTTAAAAAAATTAAAAACTATTTGATAAATTAAATTATTAATAAAGTTACTTCACTCTAAAATTATTTATATTTCTTTTTATTAATTTCAATTGATGGATAATCATAAAATTATTTTATACTTTGATTTAAATTTATATAATGAAATATTATATGATTTTCAATTTTTTTAAAAATTTATAAAATTGATCTATACATTAAAAACTAAATTTAAAAAAAAAATTAAGTTTGATCTATATATTAAAAATTTTTAATTTAATAGTTTGATTATTAAAATTAAACATATACCATAAGTTAACCGAAAATTACTCTTAGAATCATATGCAGTCACACACACATATATATATATATAAGAAGAGATCCGTTTATTCCAAGAATAAGTTTATTTAGATTTATTTTACTCAATAATTTGTGTTTTAAATTAAATTTTAATGATAAAATCGTTGGATTTAAAGTTTTTAATACATAGTATCAAATAATTTTTAAAATTTTTTAAAAATTTACAGAAATTTTAAATAATTTTTAATTTTTTTTAATGATTAAAAACTTTTAAATCTCGTTAAATTTTGATATAAAATATAAGTTATTGAATAAAGTAAGTATATATATATATATATATATACGTGTTATTGTGTGTTTATACACGATTTTTTTATTTGTATTAATTATAAATTTTTCACTTATTTTTTATTACTTTTAATTAAAGTGTTAATTTTAACTATTTTTTTTTTGAAGGGTTCTATTGGTGTCTCCATCATGAGGAAACTAAGCCTATGAATTGGTGGGAGAGTCCTTCACATACTTTCCCAAACCTTATTAACTACTTCGATATTCAATTCTTATTATCTTCACTTTCTGCTTCCCCCTTACCTTGTTTGAGAGAAAAATGTTGCAGTGCATATTTCTTCTGTCGGATTCCGGGTAAGATTCACGCTCTGTCTAGGTTATTCAAATGAAATTTATCCCAAGTCACGATTCAATTCCCGATTTCGAATTTCAAATTCCATTTGAATTTAATGCCTCTGAAAATTTGATTGGATTCCTTAGTGAGGTAATGCTAGAGAAACAGCTCAGTGGGCACCGCGTAGATCGCTCCATATGCGCCTGGTTTTGGGACAAAGCCATTTCTCAACCTGATTCCTTCAAGGTATTCTTTTTCATTTCTAACATTACGTTTTTTCTATCTTATGCTTTTATTTAGCTTATTCTATTCTCTGTCTATAGCAACAACCAGTTATTGCTTCACCTACGCATTATCTGTTCCAAGTTTTGCGTGAGGGAATCACTTTCTTGGCATGCACCCAAGTCGAAATGCCACCATTGATGGCGATTGAGGTATGCTCCCTATTATTTGCAATTCATACGCCAATGCTACGGTGTGTTTGCTATTTTTAACCATCTGATTCTTAGTTCCTTTGTAGGGTTGCTGATGTCCTCAATGATTATCTTGGGGGCTTGAATGAAGACTTGATTAAAGACAACTTTGTCATTGTGTATGAGGTATTTCTCTCAAATACCTTGATAGTGTGTTTGGATGAAGAATTTTATAAATTCAAGGAATTTTAAATTCTTGGTATTTGAATTATTTTTATTTCAATTTCTATCATTCTTAAAATATTTTATTTGAATAAATCAATTCAAATTTCTTAAATTTTAAATTGTTAGGTTAAATATCATAATTTGATTCTATCATAGTAAAATTGATTTTAAAAATATATTTATATGTTGAGATTTTTAAATTAAATTTTATAAAAATAAACATTAATCCATTTTTAAATATTTAGTAATTTTAAAAATTAATATTAGATAATATTTAATAATTTTAAAAATTAATATAAGATAATATTTAATAATTTTAAAAATATTTTTGAATATCCAATAATTAAAAGAATGAAGAGATAAGATAAAATATATAGGTGAAATAAGAAAAATAAATATGAGGAATTTCAAATTCTCCCATTTTTGGGAGAATTTGAAATTCTACTATTTTTAAGGAATTTCACAAATGCTTGGATTTCAAATTTTTTGTAAATTCCTCATCCAAACAAAACATTTCACCTCAAGAAATTTGAAATTCTTCAAATAAATGAATTACCCTATATAAATTCCTCATCCAAACATACCATGATAGTGTTGGCTTTTATCTTGAAATGAAATGTTGTTTTTCTTTCTTCAATTCGCCTGTTGGCCACATAATGTTCATTATGTGACAGTTGCCAAAGTGGTGTGCATTGGTGAATTTAATTGCGTTGTTTTGTTTTTGTAGCTGCTGGATGAGATGATAGACAATGGATTCCCGTTAACTACAGAACTTAATATCCTGCAAGAGATGATAGCACCACCAAATATTGTTAGCAAAGTCTTGAGCGTTGTAACTGGCAGCAGTTCCAATGTTAGTGACTCCCTTCCAGGTGCTACTGCATCTCTTGTTCCCTGGAGAACAGCAGACCCAAAATATGCCAACAATGAAATTTATGTAGATCTTGTTGAAGAAATGGATGCAACAATAAACAGGTCTATCTGCCCCAATTGTTAGCCTTTCACTTCTGAACATCGATAATTTTATGGGTGATTCGTTTATCTTTTTTTTTTTTTTTTAAATTATGTTATGGTCATGTTGATTAGTTATTTTAGCGAACTTGGAAAGTTAAAGACTTCAAACTGAGTCTAAGACTGCATGCAAAAGAAAATAATTATGTGTTGTACTTGTTTTCCTTTTCAAGGAGGAGAAAGCATTACAATAATTCATTAAGGTTGAAAATTTATTTTTCAAACAGGTTATTATATAACTTAATAGTTTAGCTTTCTTTTCCTTCCCTATGCTGGGTTGGCACTAACTCAATCTTCTTTTACTGGGTTAAAGTTCATTTTTTCACTCCTTGACTTGCAAACTGAATATTCCTTACTATGACACAATGACTAATCAATTGGGTACGTAGATCAGCAAAACTTGAAGTCTTATATATACACATACATGCACGCAAACAACATATTACAGTTCCCATAAAACATCTTAGGCAAAGCTGCTAGATCTAATCATTCATATATGGGTCATTCCTGATGTCTAATAAATAGCTAGGTATCTGGCAGAGATGTAATTATCAAAGGGTAGTGGACAACAGAAATTAATATACATTTTTATATTAACACAACCTCCATTTCTACCATAGAAAAGAGTTGAAGAAACAGTGATCTTTGTATTCTTTTTTCATTCCTTTTTTCTCCTTTCCCAACTTAGCCCTCCGCAAGATTTTTGAACAGGGTTTTACTGATTCTTGGAAGCTTGAATTTGTGGATCTTGATATGGCTGAACTTTTTCAATGACCAATTTGGGACTCCTCTTTAGTAGTTCATGTCTTATTTGCTATTCCTTTAAGTTTTTCTTTATACCCATTACTAAGAAAATCTGTTGATACAGGGATGGAGTTCTGGTGAAATGTGAGATCAATGGTGAGGTTCAAGTGAATTCCCATATCACAGGTCTTCCTGATTTGACTCTTTCATTTAAAAATCCTTCAATCCTTGATGATGTGAGGTTCCATCCCTGTGTTAGATATCGTCCCTGGGAATCCGATCAAATTCTTTCATTTGTGCCTCCTGATGGACAATTTAAACTTATGAGTTACAGGTATGGTGTCCACTGTCCAACTTTTTGTTGATGTCTGAATTAGGATTTGAAACCTTCATACCTTCATTTGAGAAATCAGTTTGGATAAAGATATAATTGTGAATGTTGAATTCCATTCAATGTTATTCTCGATTTTCTATTCACTTTTTTCAGAGTTAGAAAATTGAAGAACACCCCAATTTATGTAAAGCCACAGTTGACTTCAGAAGGTGGAACATGCCGTCTTAGTGTATTGGTTGGAATAAGAAATGATCCTGGAAAGACAATTGACTCCGTTACTGTTGAGTTTCAGCTTCCTTCTTGCATCTTATCAGCTGATCTGACTTCAAATCATGGAGTAGTAAACATCCTTGGTAACAAGGTACTTAATAAGCACCAATATCTCTTTTTGTCTATTGTAGAAAACCAAGAAATCAAAACAGTCAGATATGAACCTCTTTGCCCTGTTTTTGTGATGTAATATAAAACTTTCTTTGTTTCTATCAGACATGCTCTTGGTCCATTGGTCGGATCCCAAAGGATAAAGCCCCTTCAATGTCTGGAACATTGGTGCTGGAGACAGGATTGGAGCGCCTTCATGTGTTTCCCACATTTCAAGTGGGTTTTAGGATTATGGGTGTTGCTCTATCTGGTCTGCAAATAGATAAACTGGATCTGAAGACTGTACCTTACCGTTTTTATAAAGGTTTTCGAGCTCTTACCAGGGCAGGTGAATTTGAAGTCAGGTCATGATTGTGTATTTACCATTGAGTGACTTGTCATGATTATGGACATTAACTTTTGTTGCATGTACACGGCTAGTTTGATTTGTAAAGAGTTGATAGTGTTCGCTTCCAATTTCAAATGATTTTAGTAGTGAATCGTATATTGGCTATCGAAATTATCGTGAATTTATGAGAGAATCACGTGACTTGTATTTTGAATCTAATTTGTTTCATTGTTATCATTAACGATTGACATTATTGAGAATGAATTGACGTTTTTAATGATCTTAGATGAATTAGTGATCCCCATTACTTTATTTTATCCAACAATCTACTTTAATCGTTGGCTAAAATTTAGCTACGGAACGTGTAATGTCAACGTTTGAAACATCTAAGCACTTAGAATAAGGGAGTAAAATAGATAATCGAATGAAAAATTGAAGAACAAACATGATCATCAAACATCAATCTTATAATGAGTTATATTTTCCTATTTTATCAAGGTTTAATTTGGTTTGTCTCTTATTTGATTATAATATTCATAGATTTAGTATTATTTTAACAATTCTTGTTTTAGATGTTGCTTAAGATTTGATGAGATAATTTTGTTGAACACAGGATGATTTGAGAAAATGAGTCATGCCACAATAGCTCACAAGACCAGTTAAAAGACATGTTAAAATGTATTTAACAAGCATACTTGCATAAATATGAAAATGAAGACGACAGTGTAACAATGGAGATAATAGAGTAAAAAATTTAGTCAAAAAAAAAAATGGAATTAAGATGCACACACAAAAGGAAAAATAAAATAAAATAAAAAAAATAAAAAAGCTAGATAAAGAGTTCATTAGAATAAAGAAGAAAAAATTAAAGATTAAATTTCAAGATCATAGATCTTCATGTATCCAAATTTCAAGATTAACTGGCAATCTTGTTCACTCAGAACGAATTCATGACTTAATGAAGATCATTTTCTTTCTGAAAAAAACATTTTCTGGCACCTGCAATCTCAACTCATAGGTTTGTTTTCAACCCCAAGAACAGATAGGAACCTACAATCTCATTCAAGACGTACCACCCGGTCTTCAGACATAACAGCATGCTCATTGTTATTTGTATATGACTTTATATTTACCTAGCAACATAGAGACAATAAACTCAGTCAGTTATGTTATTTTGCAATCAGGAGCGAGAAGTTATGCCACCTTTTCTTGAACAAAGGAATTTTGAGGAAAAATAATTAGAAGATATATGATTTATGAACGGCTTCAAGAGGCACCACTTATCCAGAGTGATTTCATGAGCATCTTTTTTATATGTATTTCACTTTTAATTGTATCAATTTATGCCAATCCAACCAACTAGTTTCACGTGGCAATACATGGTATGATCAAATAGTAAAGGAAAATTCATGAAACTGATTATTTAAATGTAATTGTTAACCAACCTCAACTTGATAGTATAACTCGCCATCATCAGTTACTTTTGAAGACGTGGAAGGAATATTTGATTCGCGTCAAGTTTAGTAAACATAAACTCAATCAGATACTATTTGAGCACAGTCTTTCCAGCTTGTTGGGATGGACCCAAATCTTTGACACTCTTGTATTGGGAAGATGAAGGAGAAGAAATTTCAACAGATAAATTTTCATCAAGAATAAAAGGGTCCTTGAAAAACATGTCAGCTCCAACACCTCAGACTTGAATCCAATTCCCTGGGTACTTGAATGAATAACCATCAAATGCATCTATAAATTCACAAAATACAGAAGACTATTGAGTCAATGCTAGACCAACCTCTAAGAGAATATTACTTGATAAGATCAAGGACATTGCTTTCATCCTTAGAACTGCAAAAGCTTTAGTCTGAGCATATATTAGCAGAGATAGAATCAAAGACAAGTTGTAGATGGAACTTGCCAAGATAGTAAAAAGAAAGTTCACAGTGGGTGGATTATTTATTTTGAATGAAGTTTTAGATTCAATCTCATTGTAACTATTAGGAAGTAGCTTTTGCATCGATACTAACTTGAGTCATGTTATTTGTTTCATGTATAACCTTAATCATGTTATTTTTTCCATTTCTATCCTTAGTTAGACTCCAATCATTTTGGTAATAACACCCAAAACCAATTTTAATTGCATGTTTCTAAACAACATTGTGTGTGAAAATCAAGAACAACAAATTATCATACGAAGTTACTATTTTTGATCTAGTTGTTCTTAAATTAAGTTACTCTCGCCCTTTTTCTCTTCATTTGAATGGCTCTATATTATTGCTTCTCTTTCCTTAACAAGCACAGTGCAAAGCCTAGCATAATCCTGTGCTAAATGTGTAAATGGGAAAATGCAACAAATGCTGACAATTGTAGCCTTTGGCACTGTGCAACCATGAATTGAGATAAATTACATGAAGAAAGCATAACATAACCTAAAAAACATGAAAGGATTACCAATTGGGAGCGAGTGGAATGATTGGGGAACTGAAACGACGTCGTGTGGGTAATGGGTCGGGGCAGAAAACCCGACATTATAATTACATTAGCCATTGCCGAGAAGAGTTGAAAGAGATCAATCGCACAAGCAACAGTTGAGTTTTATTCCTACCATTCCCGTTAGATTCTTTCACCTGTACCCATTCCTGTACCTCCAATGAGAATAAGCCAGTCAATTAAAATTACACATCAGCAATTAAAATTAGAGAAATTCTATGGTACCCATCTTATTTGAGAGGGTACCGGTACAGTTTTTAATATTTTATATTTTTAATAATTTATTTAAATAATATTTATAATATTTTATTCTTTCAATTTTTAAATTATTTAGTTATTTTATTTTTTATTTTATATATTCTAATTTATTTGCAATAATATTATTATATATTTAAATAATTTAATTTTAATAATTTTTTAAGTTTATTTTTATTTTTTCACTTAAATTTTTTGAATTTCTATATTTTAATTTTAATAATTTTTTAAGTATTTTTTTTTGTCTTTTTGTCATAAATTTTTGAATTTCTATATTGTAATTTTAATTATTTTTTATTTTTACTATTTATTAATTTTTCTTTTTTTTTAATATTTTATAATATTATTGAAATCTTATAATTTTAATTTTTATAATTTTATCTTACTTTTTATTTTATAAGTATAATTTAGATTATTCATTTTATAATTAAATTAATTTTTTTAAAATTTTTTATGAGTTTACATAGAAAAATGTATTGGAACCCCTCGATCTTTGAGGGTACCGTAGCAACTCTCTTAAAATTAAACCCTAATTCCTAACCTCCATAACCGTGAACGTGGCACAACAGATGTGGAGGACGGGGACAACATTGGAGCGAACCTAGAGGAGGAACCCCTCCGAATTTAACGTTTTTGGGAAATTAGTATGTTCCTTCATTTATTTTATTGATGTTAAGTTAAAAAAAAAAAACAAATCAATAATATTTAAATAAGATAATGATTATAATAGTTATAATAAGCTAATCCAAATGCACTTAAAAATGTTGAACATTACAGTGATGATATTTTAGCGGATAAATATGAGGGTTGAGAGTTAGTACTACAAAGTGCAAACATTGAGGTTAGAAATAGAGAGTAACCTAAATTTTGTCTGCAACTAATAGTAATAGATCCACTCGTGGATATTTAACCATAAATAATCTAAAATAAATGTTTTCTAAAAGGAGAAAAAAGCAATATCTAACCGTGCGGTGAGAAATGAAGGTAGCATTTCTCCGTCCTATACATTAACATTCTATTCTACCCGCATGATTTTCACAATTCCTGTTTCTTCTAAGCCATCGTTTCTTGAACCATTACCGTTACATAGATAGAACATTCAAAATCTGCTCAAATATTCCGTTTGCGTTCTTCTGGTATGATCGCCATCAACCTCATTTGCAATTGCACCATGAAACCGTCTCCTAAGATTCTCATTGGATACAAGAATTCATCGTTTCTCGCGAGATGTCACCATACTCGTACTATGTCCATGTCTAACTCCACCACGTGTGGCCTCAACCTCGATCACAGCACCATGCACTGCCCCTTCCACACGCGCGAGTTTGGACGCATCATGCATGGTAGTAACCAACAAGTTTTCGGGTTACCCTCTTCGAGTTTTGGCCAATCAATGTCCCTCAGCACATCGAGAAGAACAAAACGGGGCGTGTCTGCCGTTGCTGGAGTTGACATCAACTTCAAGGCTCGTGACTTCTCGGGCTCCGTCGAAACACGTGTCAATGACAGCAACGGTGACATGGTTTACGTAAAGGGTGGCATGAATGTGAAGCCAGTAGTGGCGGAAAGTGGTGACAAAGATGAGGGTGATGTTGGGGAAGAATCTCGGTTAGAAGTTGGTGAGGAAGATGAGAAGACACAGAATTCGTGTGGTTTAGAGAATGTGGATGAGGCCAATAATGTGGAAGAGGAGACAGAAGTGGAGAAAGAGGCGTGGAAGTTGTTGCAAGAGGCACTTGTGACGTATTGTGACACCCCTGTGGGGACGGTGGCAGCAAATGATTCGACTAGCGAGCAACTTTTGAATTATGATCAGGTTTTCATTCGGGACTTCATCCCTTCTGCTCTTGCTTTCTTGCTCAAAGGAGAAAGGGAAATTGTCAAGAACTTTCTTCTTCACACCTTGCAACTCCAGGTAATATATAAGGGTCTTCTTGACCAGTGTTCTTGGGGCACTGTTAACAAACCAATAAGTAGAAAGTTTTCATTGAAAACTATAATATGGCACTGGTTAGCATTTTCCAATATATAATCTTACTCTCTAGGGTCTTGCTTGTTAAAGTTAATGTAGCGGTTTAACTTAAAATGAGAATAACTATAAAGACCAAGTGGCTAGTTTAACCTTTTTTTGGGTGTATTTCATGAAGATGTAGTTGGTTATTAGTGGTCATGGATTTATGTCATAAAATATCTTGGTTCATGTTAAAAATTCTGAATAAATCACTCTTCCTTTCTCTTTATCGATGTTTAATCTCTTGCCTTATTCTCTATTTAATTGCAAGAGTTGGGAGAAAACAGTGGACTGCTATAGCCCAGGGCAGGGCTTGATGCCTGCTAGTTTCAAAGTTAAAACCAAGGAATTTGAAGAAGGAAAGACAGAAGAAGTTTTAGATCCTGATTTTGGGGAATCAGCTATTGGTCGTGTTGCTCCTGTTGATTCAGGTTAGTGTTTTGCTGTTCTTTATGATTGCTTGAGCGTTGTAAACAATAGTCACTTCCTAGAATATTGTTTGAGTTGAGCAACATCACAAAATGACTTGTTTCTATGCTCGGTTTCGTGATAGGATTATGGTGGATCCTCCTGCTGCGGGCTTATGGGAAGATTACTGGGGACTACAGCTTGCAAGAAAGGTTGGATGTTCAAACAGGCTTGAGAATGATCCTTAACTTGTGTTTAACGGATGGATTCGATATGTTTCCTTCCCTGTTAGTAACTGATGGTTCTTGCATGATAGACAGGAGGATGGGTATTCATGGCCACCCCCTTGAGATTCAAGTGAGTGTAAATAAGCTATTTTGTATTCTTGCGTTCTATATTAGGTGCTATAAGATTTTGAATTCTTGTACCCTTGTTTTACTTCAATCAGTCGTAATTCCCCTAGTCTCCTACTTTAGTGTATCTATGTGGAATTTGAGATGAGAAACTTGGTTTCAGAATTCTGTATCTATTGCTTTTCAGTTAATCTCTCACTTGAATATGAATAATTTCTTATTATTGAATCTGAATAGGTACAATAAAATAAATAGGCAGAAAACATAATCAATCCCTAAAGTTTAGGGATTTAGATAAAACTAACTAAAGAGAAGATAAACTAGTATATCTAAACTATATCTTATAGAATTATCTTAACACTCCCCCTCAAGCTGGAGCATATATATCATATGCATCTAGCTTGTTACATATATATGTTATCCTAGGACCACGTAAAGATTTAGTAAAGATATCTGCAAGTTGATCCTTGGAGCAAACTGAGGAGGTCTTGATGATACCGGAGAGGATCTTTTCTCTGATGAAATGGCAGTCAACCTCTATATGCTTTGTTCTCTCATGAAAAACTGGATTAGAGGAGAGGTATAAAGCTGACTGGTTATCACAAACTAGTTCCATATGACCAACCTTGCAAAACTGCAACTCTTGAATTAAGAATTTTAGCCACAAGAGCTCACATGTGGTGTGAGCCATAGCACGATATTCTGCTTCTGTACTTGATCGTGCAACAACACTTTGCTTTTTACTCTTCCATGAGACAAGATTACCACCCATGAAGACACAATAGCCTGATGTTGACCGCCTATCACTTGCATCACCTGCCCAATCTGCATCTGAATATCCAACAATGTTTGTATGTCCTCTATCATTGTAAACAAGTCCTTTTCCTGGTGATCTTTTGATGTATCTAAGGATTCGAACAACTGCAAGCCAATGACTCTCACAGGGAGAGTTAAGAAACTGACTTACAACGCTGACAGGAAAGGATATATCAGGTCTGGTCATGGTGAGATAATTCAATTTGCCCACTAATCTCCGATATCTCCCTGGGTCAGGATAAGGCTCCCCCTGATTAGGCATAAGCTTCACATTAGGATCCATGGGAGTGTCAACTGGCTTACAATCTGTAAGTCCGGTCTCTTCTAGAATATCAAGGGCATATTTTCTCTGAGAAATAGCAATACCGGACTTTGACTGAGCGACCTCAATCCCGAGGAAATAACGTAGGGGACCTAAATCCTTAGTTTGAAAGTGTTTAAATAAGTGTTGCTTCAGTGCCTTGATGCCCTCCTGATCATCACCTGTAATCACAATATCATCTACATAAACAACAAGATAGATAAATCTATGTGTCGATGAGCGTCTAAAGAAGACAGAGTGGTCTGTCTCGCAGCGGATCATTCCAAATTCCTGTATAACTTTGCTAAACCGACCAAACCAAGCACGAGGTGATTGTTTGAGGCCATACAAGGACTTTTGTAATTTACATACAAGACCAGACCCCCCTTGAGCAACAAACCCAGGAGGTTGATCCATATAAATCTCCTCCTCCAAATCACCATGTAAGAAGGCATTTTTGATGTCTAATTGAAACAAAGGCCAATGCCTCATAGCAGCCATAGCTGAGAAGAGACGAACTGAGGCCATCTTCGCAACTCGAGAGAAGGTGTCGCTGTAATCCAAACCATATACTTGCGTGTATCCCTTAGCCACAAGACGAGCTTTCAATCTATCCACCTGTCCATCAGGGCCCACTTTAACATTAAATACCCACCGACAACCAACAACAGATTTTCCAGGCTGAGGTGGGACAAGTACCCAACTGTGATTGGAGTCTTAAGCTGTCATCTCATCAATCATTGCTTGACGCCATCCTGGATGGGTTAAGGCCTCCTGTACAGTCTTGGGAATGGTAATAGAGGAAATAGCAGAGACAAAAGCATAATAGGTAGGAGACAAACGATGATATGAAAGAAAGTTATAAATAGGATGAGGATTACAAGTAGAACGACTACCTTTACGAAGAGCAATGGGCAAGTCAACTGAGGTAGGTGGGGCCGGAGTAGGTGAGGAGACTGAAGCAGGAGTAGAATCACATGGCTCAATTGAAGAATCATTGGGAGGAACAACATACACACGTTATTATTATCGTATAAGTAAAATATGTAACATATATTGTTAGCATGCATTGTTTCTGAAATGTTATTCTGCACATTTTTACGTCTCAATAGCGTTGCATCGTCTGCCATTGAACAGGTGCACCTATTATCGATATATAAATAATATAGGACGTATTTAAGAATCCAAAATATTGGCTCACAAGTTCCTGTAGATAAACAGATAGAATGAGATTTATTAGATAGATTTTATATTATAAATTTTTAACAATATGTAATGCTGCATTGGCGAAACTGAAGTTCTTTTATTGTTGCTTATCTAGCTTCATGGTGAAATTGTTCATGCAAGGAAGCCCGAAAGAACTTGGCATTATGCCATTATCCAATTCATACAAGAGATACATTTGGAATACCGAGTGCTAGAGTTAGGGATTAAATAAAAAACAAAACTGCTACGTAGATATTTGCAGGTAAAATATGCTATAAATTTTAAATAGATATTCATTTAATAACAAAGCATAAATGAATAGTAAGGTATTTGTATTTCATACATTTTAAAAATATTAAAATTATTTTTAATTATATATAAAATAAGTTAGTTTAATTTATTTTTATAATAAATATGTGGTATGATTATTTATTTTTACAATAAATATGTGTCATATTATTTATTTTTAGTATAAATATATATACAAAATTATTTTTATAAATATATTTTTTAAAATTATTTATTTAGTTTTGTACTATCCGTATCGCGTAGCCGAGCTCCGAGCTCGGTACCACAACGCAAGCCGACCTCGGACGCGCACCGCGTGACGTCAGCTCGGCACTTAAGTAGATCATAATCGGTCTCAAGGGATCTCGCTCCAGACGAGATCCTCTATCTAATCTTATCATATCTTATTTCAGGCCCAAGGCCCAAAACAACCCTAATCCACACTAAGGTACGTGCATTACTTATACAAGATTGATACTCCCACTAACACTAACTTTAGCATCGGAGTCTCTTTTGCAGGTACCACCCCCATCTTGGAGCATCAAGCGTACCAGCGAAGGAGGCTCACCGATCTTACCTGGCGGATCAGCTCTACAGCAGATTTCCAGTAAGAACATTTGGCATCCACTGTGGGGCCGATCAAGACAGCTCTTATTGGCCACGCTTATGGTTTTCACCAGAAGCCATAGCAGACGCGTAACAGACAACCTAGTTCACACAACTAACATGGATAACGAAGCAACATTGAGACAACTGATCGAGCAGGTTGAACAGATGCGGCAGCAACACGCTGCAGATCTACAAAATATGCGTGCCCAGCACGAAACTGACCTAGCGGCTCTGCGCGCTTAAAACAAGAGGATTCGCGCTCAACCCCAGTAGCGATATCCTGATCATCCCTCCGGCTCTCAACCCAACCCCGGCGTAACAGTGCGAACCGAGGTAAACCAGGAGGCAGGATCACCTCCCCCACAGGGAGTGATCAGCACAATTGCGGGAGGCTTCGCAGGAGGGGGAGCCAGCAGCTCGGCCTGGAAAAAACACCTGCGCAACGTCAACCGCGTACACTTCACCACCCCTGTTTCGCACCAAAGCCCGCCGATGATCACTTTCACCGATGACGACTATGACGGGATCAATCCCAACCAGGACGATCCCATGGTCATAGCCGTGGCGCTAGCCAATTGGGAGGTTCACAAGACTTTGGTCGACCAAGGGAGCTCGGCCGAAATCCTATATTGGCCAACATTCCTCAGGTTAGACGTCCCCCACTCTCTCATACAACCTCACACAGAACCCCTAGTCGGTTTTGCAGGAAGGAGCGTTTACACTCGGGGATACGTGGACCTGCTGACAACCTTTGGGGTACCCCCGGATACAAGGAGAATCATGGTTCGATACCTTCTCATGGAGGTCAACACCTCCTATAACATCATCATCGGGAGACTGTTAAGTCTCAATTTTACCTCTTTTTGGATGAGACTTATTAAACAAATTCCACTCATCCTCTGAACCATTGCAATATAATTGTTCTCTTTTTGGTTCATTTTGTGTGCAGATATAACTAACCCAAATTTAGCTAACAATACCTTAATACACCTCATTTTTTGTGCAGGTATTGAGCTAGAGAATTGAGGATTGAAGATTCTTAGGATTGGAAATCCAAGAGGCTAAGGAGCAGAGAAGAGGTTTTGCCAGGTTAGACGTCCCCCACTCTCTCATACAACCTCACACAGAACCCCTAGTCGGTTTTGCAGGAAGGAGCGTTTACACTCGGGGATACGTGGACCTGCTGACAACCTTTTATATCTAAACTATATCTTATAGAATTATCTTAACACTCTCATTTTGGTTGAATTTACATATGTTAAGTTTTTCTTTGCAGGCTTTATTTTACTCGGCTCTTCGCTCCGCACGTGAGATGGTTGTTGAAGATGAAAGTTCCAAGAAACTAGTTGGAGAAATTAACAACAGACTGAGTGCACTATCATTCCACATTAGAGAATACTATTGGGTGGATATGCGAAAGATAAATGAGATATACAGGTACAAAACAGAAGAGTACTCATTGGATGCCACAAACAAGTTCAACATCTATCCAGAACAAATTCCTTTGTGGCTAATGGATTGGATTCCAGAAGAAGGAGGATATCTGATAGGGAATCTGCAGCCAGCTCACATGGATTTCAGGTTTTTCATGCTTGGAAATCTTTGGTCTGTTGTTTCCTCTTTGGGCACCCCAAGGCAGAATAATGCTATTTTGAATCTGATTGAAGCAAAATGGGAAGATCTCGTTGGCCAAATGCCTCTTAAGATATGTTATCCTGCCTTGGAGGATGAAGAATGGCGATTAATTACAGGCTGTGACCCAAAGAATACGTATAAATTCTTCCTTTCATATTTATTTTAGTTGTTTTGCATGTATGAGTTCTTTCCTTCATTTTCTCTTCATAAAAAAAGTACTTGAAGAATGTAGCGTTTAGTTATTTAGTGTTTGTCTTCATAATTGCTTCTACGGTGTACATATTATGTCTTTACCTAAAACCCCATGCTTAATTTGTGCAGCCCTTGGTCATATCACAATGGTGGCTCTTGGCCAACCCTTCTGTGGCAGGTAAATTCATTTTCCTTATTGAAAATATTTGTCTTTTGAGGAAACTAGAGAAAATGTTGTTGTCCAATGTCCATATTCACAACTAAACTTTGCTTCAATATTGATGTGTTGTTTTCTAATGCATCATTGTTTTCAGTTCACACTTGCATGCATGAAAATGGAGAGAACCGAACTAGCCGAGAAAGCAGTTGCTTTGGCTGAGAAAAGGCTGCCAGAAGATTCTTGGCCCGAATATTATGACACACGCTCAGCAAGATTTATTGGCAAACAAGCTCGGCTCTATCAAACATGGACTTTAGCAGGGTTCCTTGCATCTAAGATGCTTTTGAAGAATCCTAAACTGGCTTCCTTGTTATGCTGGGAAGAGGACTTTGAGATTCTTGAGACATGTGTTTGTTTACTTAATAAGAGTGGCAGGATCAAATGCTCCCGTGATGCTGCAAAGTCTCAGATTCTCGTGTGACGAGAGGCTCTCCTGTGCTGTACAGTCAAAGGTTTAGGCCTTAGGATATGGTTTGAGTTTGATAGGAAACAGTAAAAATCACATTGGAAAAACAATATCTTTCATATTGTTGTGACTATCATAAATAAGGTTTTCTCACTCATTTGTATATATGCAAACATGTACAAATTGAATTTTCATAATAGAGTGCTCCTCGGAAGCATTGTTATCTTTATTTACTGTTTATTCTCATTGCCAACTTCTGAAAGGGCCAAGTCTTTCAAAATGAAGTTTAGATTCCAAGGAAAACATCTTACCATGTTTCAACCTTTAGCAGCTAATGTTTTCAGGAAATAATGTATATCCCAACCAACAGAACACACAAGCAAACATAAAAAGAGGAGAAACATGGAGAGTATCCAAATGAAAGAATCTTCCTTCTCTTCCAAGCAAGCCAGTTATGTTAAATAAGTAAATAAAATTGATCACCCCTTATTTTCTGTCTACATTATTCAATTAACAGTGTATGTAACCTTAAAGTGATCTAGATAGCAATGCTGTATAAAACCGAGTTTCCAAAATTCAGAGAAGTCCTCTTCTTCTCTTGTAGTCACTTATGGTTAATGTGAGAGCATGCCTACTACCATCATTCTCAGGGACCCTGCACCCTACTGTTGCTTCTATTTTTTGTTTCCTTGCCAGAAACCCATTTTTGAGTCCCTGTGGTCCACCAAAACTCTTAAGTTCAGATAAAGAAATTGGCAAGTCAAAATCATGCAGCATATTTGATTCTGTTCCACCATCAACAGGAGCATTGGTATCAGTCAACTTCCCTGCATTAGCAGCAGCTTGCAATGCCAATTTAGTGACTTCAACACCAACCTTTGGTGTAACACCTTTTTCTTCCTCCTTACCAACTTCACCATCCTTTTCTTCTTCCTTATCATCAGTCTTCTCAGCATCTTTCCCATAATAATTCCTCGACCTCGTCCACCTCCTCGAAAAGGGATCATAGCCTGCCTCTCCAGCTTTCAAATTCAACTGTTTATGTTCAGACAAGTTCTTGAAGTTCTCAACCTTGTTCCTCCTGTTCATCTCAGCAAGCCTCAAAGCCTTAGCATCATTCTCCCGGCTCTTACGAGATGCTTCCAATTCCACTAGCTTTGTGAAGATCCTATTGATTTCTGCCTCGTCATTCTTACTTTTTGCCAACTCCAACAGGTTCTTCAAACGATCCTTCTCCACTGCAATGTTCAGTGGCCTAGAAGGGGCAGATTTTTTCTCCTCTAGCATCTGCTTCACTGTGGCAGCCGAATAAACATACGTGCTTGTTCTTCTTATGGCGTCTTTCTTCTCCAACACACTCATCTTACTTGGCATCTGGCTGCAAGTTCTCTCAACTTCTCTAACCCACTGTCTGAACTCTTTCTCCAATGGTGCAGAATCTGAAACCACAGCCACCTGAAACTTTTTAGCAGAATTCTCACTGCCCCACACACAAACTAGATACTTGTGAGTAACTCTATTCTCTACCTTGTAATGCTTATTTGGGTCACCCCCATCAACTCTCTGCACAATGCAAAGCCTATAGACAGGTCCACTCTCAGACTTTCCTATGCCAATTCTCACAAAACAGCCAACAATTAACTCCTCAAAAAATGGTTCATTCAACCACTTCACAAGCTTTGACCTCCTAATTGTAATTTCCCTTATGTTTTCAAATGTTGGCATCTCTGATTCATGCATGTTCTTGTCATCATCACTGTCCCCCAATCCACCATCATCAGATGAGTCTCTTTCACTGTCAGAACGAATTACACTCTCACTCTGGCTAGAGCTACTTGAACTTGCTGTGATTCCGGGTTTCTGCTTGCTAATTGAGCCTGAAGCATTTCCTGATTTATCATGAGGGTCTAAGATTTGTTGCTTCATCCTTTTTGCACGCAATTCGCTTAGCACATCTCCCTTGGAAGCTGTCCTCTCAGCATGTCTAGCTGAGGAACGAACCTTACTAGATGATGGATGATGAGATGATTGTGCAGCAGTCTTTGCACTTTTGTTTTCCCTCTTCTTTCTCATTTTCTCTTTGAACTCCTTTTCACATTTCTTAGTTGCTCTATCAGTTAAAATCATCTCTCTTTCAAGTTCTGTCATCTTTGCGAGGTTCTGCCTGTCATCATCGTCCTTGTAGAGATCACTGCCAACATCAGATTCTTCACTGCTGCCACCATCTCTATCAGGAACTCCATCCTCCATGTCACCCCCGCCTTGCTCTTTCCGAACACTGTTACTACTACTACCTCTTCTGCTGAGGTCCAACCTCTTCTTCAGCGGAACATGTGATGCATACCTCTGTGGCCTCTTGCCTGCACCCTCATCAGAGTCTTCCTCCCTCGAATCACTTCCACCATCGGAGAATGCTGCACCCTCACGTTTCGCCTTTGAGTTCCGACCCTTGTGCCTCTTTCTCACTGGAGAACTAGTCCTTCCAGCTGCCTCAAGAAGCATGTTTTCCAAGTCTGCCATCTTCTCTTCTGTGCTGATATGCACTCCCAAGTTATATTATCAACACTCTAATTGAGTAAGACCACAAAAGTCACTGCATTACACAAACATAAGATTTTATCATAAGGTCATAAGCAGAGTTTTTCTTAACCAATAAGAAAGATTACAATGACAATAACAAAGTTCCAAACTGGTGCATAGTACTCTCAACTCCAACTTAGTGGTTTATATATGCTATGCATGAGTTAAATAATTTCTCAAGTGTCTACATAAAATAAACCGAATAAAAACAGAGATTAATGTACTAAATTTAGACTTTCTGGGGGTACTAGCATTGAAGTGGTTCATCTTTAGTAGTTACCATATGTAATGTAACTCTTGCATTCATTCAGAGATATAAAAAATAGTAATGAAATCGATATGATAAGACAGAAAAGATAAACGAAAAATGAAGGACACCTGAGTGAGGCAAATGTGCAAGGGAACAAGAAGATGAGGAAGGGCTGTAGCAACAACTGGTCGTGGTTGTAGAAATTATGTAATATATAATTCAGCAAGCGTTTGAGAGGTCCTCCTGAGATCACTGGATGCCTTTCGTGTGTTTTAGTCTTCTACTGAAATTTATGTACGATATTTTTGTAATTAAAAATATTGTTTATTAGAACTCCCGGTTTATAGAAACTAACTCCTATAAATACGTATACGATGCTTGACTTCTTCAATCTTAAAAACTTTGGTTACACACGTTATTATTATCGTATAAGTAAAATATGTAACATATATTGTTAGCATGCATTGTTTCTGAAATGTTATTCTGCACATTTTTACGTCTCAATAGCGTTGCATCGTCTGCCATTGAACAGGTGCACCTATTATCGATATATAAATAATATAGGACGTATTTAAGAATCCAAAATATTGGCTCACAAGTTCCTGTAGATAAACAGATAGAATGAGATTTATTAGATAGATTTTATATTATAAATTTTTAACAATATGTAATGCTGCATTGGCGAAACTGAAGTTCTTTTATTGTTGCTTATCTAGCTTCATGGTGAAATTGTTCATGCAAGGAAGCCCGAAAGAACTTGGCATTATGCCATTATCCAATTCATACAAGAGATACATTTGGAATACCGAGTGCTAGAGTTAGGGATTAAATAAAAAACAAAACTGCTACGTAGATATTTGCAGGTAAAATATGCTATAAATTTTAAATAGATATTCATTTAATAACAAAGCATAAATGAATAGTAAGGTATTTGTATTTCATACATTTTAAAAATATTAAAATTATTTTTAATTATATATAAAATAAGTTAGTTTAATTTATTTTTATAATAAATATGTGGTATGATTATTTATTTTTACAATAAATATGTGTCATATTATTTATTTTTAGTATAAATATATATACAAAATTATTTTTATAAATATATTTTTTAAAATTATTTATTTAGTTTTGTACTATCCGTATCGCGTAGCCGAGCTCCGAGCTCGGTACCACAACGCAAGCCGACCTCGGACGCGCACCGCGTGACGTCAGCTCGGCACTTAAGTAGATCATAATCGGTCTCAAGGGATCTCGCTCCAGACGAGATCCTCTATCTAATCTTATCATATCTTATTTCAGGCCCAAGGCCCAAAACAACCCTAATCCACACTAAGGTACGTGCATTACTTATACAAGATTGATACTCCCACTAACACTAACTTTAGCATCGGAGTCTCTTTTGCAGGTACCACCCCCATCTTGGAGCATCAAGCGTACCAGCGAAGGAGGCTCACCGATCTTACCTGGCGGATCAGCTCTACAGCAGATTTCCAGTAAGAACATTTGGCATCCACTGTGGGGCCGATCAAGACAGCTCTTATTGGCCACGCTTATGGTTTTCACCAGAAGCCATAGCAGACGCGTAACAGACAACCTAGTTCACACAACTAACATGGATAACGAAGCAACATTGAGACAACTGATCGAGCAGGTTGAACAGATGCGGCAGCAACACGCTGCAGATCTACAAAATATGCGTGCCCAGCACGAAACTGACCTAGCGGCTCTGCGCGCTTAAAACAAGAGGATTCGCGCTCAACCCCAGTAGCGATATCCTGATCATCCCTCCGGCTCTCAACCCAACCCCGGCGTAACAGTGCGAACCGAGGTAAACCAGGAGGCAGGATCACCTCCCCCACAGGGAGTGATCAGCACAATTGCGGGAGGCTTCGCAGGAGGGGGAGCCAGCAGCTCGGCCTGGAAAAAACACCTGCGCAACGTCAACCGCGTACACTTCACCACCCCTGTTTCGCACCAAAGCCCGCCGATGATCACTTTCACCGATGACGACTATGTCGGGATCAATCCCAACCAGGACGATCCCATGGTCATAGCCGTGGCGCTAGCCAATTGGGAGGTTCACAAGACTTTGGTCGACCAAGGGAGCTCGGCCGAAATCCTATATTGGCCAACATTCCTCAGGTTAGACGTCCCCCACTCTCTCATACAACCTCACACAGAACCCCTAGTCGGTTTTGCAGGAAGGAGCGTTTACACTCGGGGATACGTGGACCTGCTGACAACCTTTGGGGTACCCCCGGATACAAGGAGAATCATGGTTCGATACCTTCTCATGGAGGTCAACACCTCCTATAACATCATCATCGGGAGACTGTTAAGTCTCAATTTTACCTCTTTTTGGATGAGACTTATTAAACAAATTCCACTCATCCTCTGAACCATTGCAATATAATTGTTCTCTTTTTGGTTCATTTTGTGTGCAGATATAACTAACCCAAATTTAGCTAACAATACCTTAATACACCTCATTTTTTGTGCAGGTATTGAGCTAGAGAATTGAGGATTGAAGATTCTTAGGATTGGAAATCCAAGAGGCTAAGGAGCAGAGAAGAGGTTTTGCGCCGGGCTCAAAATGACCCGCGCCGGGCGAGATAAACAGAGTACCCACCTCTAGAAGCCATCGCGCCGGGCGCAATTAGAATGGCACCGGGCTTGTCATAGAAGGCAGAGAGTATTTGGAAGGTCATGCGTCGGGCGCTAAGACTTATGTGTCGGGCGCGTAAACCCTAATCTGACTCCCCAAGCTCGTATTTGAAGCCATTTTCGGGGATCTTTCTCTCCATTCTCACATTGGGCGCCTCCAGGAGCTGCGGAAGGGATTCCCAGGGCTTGGGATCGTCCGTGTGCGGATCTTTCCTTCGGTTCTTCACTTCCTCTTCCATCTCTATTTTGTATTTGCCCTCTTTGTTGAGTGGTTTCACCCATTTTGTGGGGTTAGATGTAACCAACGTACTCTATTGTAATCTTTACGGTTTTAATGATATATATACATGTTGTTTTATTCTTTGTTGTGTTTGTTTCTATTCTTAATGCTTGCTTTGGATTGATCACCCTTTGCATGATTTAAGGTTCCATGGGTATTGGAAAATAACCTTTGAAACTAGTTCTGAAACATATGCCTAGTGGTGATTGTATCTAGGGATAGAGCTTGACCCATTAGTAGTCTTAAACCCTAGCCCGTAATGCGGGTGTAGATATTGGGTACTCAAGGGATTGATATTCAATATCCGCACCTAGGCTCTTTCTCTAAGGGATTAGGTTTGAGTAAACTTATGGGTTGACTAAGCAATGAATTCAACAAGAGATTAAGGATACATTAGTGTTACGTTTGGTGAAATCTGACCCCCACAACCTCACAATACCACAATACCATTCCTTACCTTTTCCACTCACAAAACAATATTTATTTACAGCTTTCATTCCAATAGTCACAACTTTGAATTCACTGCACAAACTATGAAATTGGAATTATTCTTTAGTCACGAATAGTCAATAAATGCTTATTTTACCTTCTAATCCCTGTGGATACGATATTTTTACTACTTGAACGGCCGGTATACTTGCCGTGTTTGAGACCGTTGATAGAATTAAACGAATTTACAAATATTAACAAAAGTGTTTCAACGGAAATCTCAACAAGTTTTTGGCGCCGTTGCCGGGGATTAGCAAGGCAATTTAGTATTTATAGCTATTTGTGATTTAATCCTTTATTGTTTTGTTATTTTTTTTATATTAGCAATGAATTGTTGGAGCTAACCTATGTACTCTAGTCTCCAGCTTTCTCTTGTATGCAAGGTACTGTTCAAATTAGACTGACCAATCCTTCTGAGCCTTTGTTGAGCAATCATGAGGTTGCACACGGGGCAAAGGGGAACAAGAGCAACAGGAGGAGAAGGAGAATCAGAGCACTTCAAGTTGGTCACTGTCAGGCTCGGGACAGTAAACAAGCGCTTCCTGGGAGGCAACCCAGAGATCTGAACTCTAGTGCATATGTTTTTCAATTGCTTTAGTGTTTTAACTTTTATTGTGATTGTGTTATAATTGTATGCTATACTTGTTTTTGGGACTTGTTTTGTGATTGTTTATGTTCTGTGATATGTATGTTGTATTGTATTATATGTGTTTTGTGTTAGGTATTAATTGTGTAACTCTTGCTTGAGTGGGTTAATATAGATTAGAATATGTTAAGAGTATGAGGAGTGGAAAATCTAGGTGAAAGCTTCACAGAGTTAACCACGCCGGGCGCGATCTAGCCACGCCCAGCGCACCTAGAGTAAATGGGCCTCTGCCAAGACCCACGCGGGGCGCAATTTCTATTGCGCCCGGCCCAGCCTTCATTTGAGCCCCTGGAACGACCAAGCCCAGCGCATTTATTGGCGCGCCGGTCGCATTAACTACTGGAAGGTCTGAGCCTTAAATATGTCGGGCGCGAATCTGCCCAAGCCCGGCGCATTCAATGCTTGCACGTTGTAACCCTAACTGCGCCAGGCGCGAAACGGCAGAGCCCGGCGCCACACCAAATGAGGGCAACTTTTGGAATTCTACTGATATTGAGCCCGGTTGTGTGAAAAACCGCAAGTGTACGGTTGTCGTCAAGT